GCTGCTCCTCTTTAGTCACCAAAGTCTGCTTCTCGCAGCATTTCCTCCCCTCTCGCTGCTGCTCCTCTTTAGTCACCAAAGTCTGCTTCTCGCAGCATTTCCTCCCCTCTCGCTGCTGCTCCTCTTTAGTCACCAAAGTCTGCTTCTCGCAGCATTTCCTCCCCTCTCGCTGCTGCTCCTCTTTGAGTCACCTAAGTCTGCTTCTCGCAGCATTTCCTCCCCTCCCGCTGCTGCTCCTCTTTAAGTCACCAAAGTCTGCTTCTCGCAGCGTTTCCTCCCCTCTCCCTGCTGCTCCTCTTTGAGTCACCAAAGTCTGCTTCTCGCAGCATTTCCTCCCCTCTCGCTGCTGCTCCTCTTTAAGTCACCAAAGTCTGCTTCTCGCAGCATTTCCTCCCCTCTCGCCGCTGCTCCTCTTTAAGTCACCAAAGTCTGCTTCTCGCAGCATTTCCTCCCCTCTCGCTGCTGCTCCTCTTTAAGTCACCAAAGTCTGCTTCTCGCAGCGTTTCCTCCCCTCTCCCTGCTGCTCCTCTTTAGTCACCAAAGTCTGCTTCTCGCAGCGTTTCCTCCCCTCTCCCTGCTGCTCCTCTTTAGTCACCAAAGTCTGCTTCTCGCAGCGTTTCCTCCCCTCCCGCTGCTGCTCCTCTTTAAGTCACCCCTCTCAATGCCACTACGTCCCCCCTAGGGGCCCTCACACATGCGCACGCTGCTCGCTACTGCAGATCCGATGCTCTGCGGCTCGTTAGCTGCTCCCTGGACGGCACTGTGTTGTCTTCTTCGCTTGAGGGAATAGCAAAGAGCGGCAGCATTTGCCGCTCCTCCGAAGTCTTAGAAGCTGCCGCCGCTAGTGCCGCAGCAGCAGCTGCAGCAGCAAAGGAGGCAGCAGCAGCTGCGCGGCTGCCACGGGCTGTTGGACAGCAGCACAGCGACTGGCTCCTAGCCGTGGACTTTGCGGAAACGAAGCTCGCAGCAGCCGCAGCTAATGGTAACATTCGACTGTACGACTTCTCAAAACAACAGTGTAGCCAGCGCTCCCATGCTGTCTTCTAGCTGCCCGCGCTGCTCCGCTGCTCCATTTTTTAAACTAGAGCTTTTTTAGCAAGCATTAGCTTCCCCTGCAGCCGCTGCCCTTACTAAGCCCGTTCTGCCTCCTCCTTTAGCGCAGCTCTGTGCCCTTTAAAGGCCTTCTTTCTTCGCATCGCCTGCCCTATAGTTGGTTATCTTTTACGGCTCTTTTCCTCGTATCGAAAGAGAAAATTCCAGGAAACCCTCCACTAACAAAACGTATCGCAACAATGCCAGCGGCAGCAGGTGCTGCTGCTGCCGTAGCAATATGAAGTGTACTTACTGGTGTTTCCGTGCTCTCTACGAGGGCCAGCAACAGCGGCACTAGAACCAGCAGCTACTGTCGCTGCAAACTCGCCGAACAAAAACACTCTTCGGTGCCTCTATCAGCAAAGAAGCCGCTGCAGCAACGTATTCTGCGATTGCAGGCACCAAAGGATGCACTGCCCACACTGCTAGCTACGGGTGTCTCAGCTTCCGCAGCATTGCATAATGCTGCTGCCCCCATGGAGGTTTCAATGCACTTGCTTTCCCTAACCCGAAAAGCCCAATCTACCCCACTGAGCGTCTTCTCTCAAAAACCTTATCACAGATCCAAAAAATGCATGAATGAGACGGACAGAACCAGAGACAGCGAGATTTAGTGAGGCACACCCAGACGTCAGCATAGGGGAATGAGAAATGAGGCGGCCGGTCCAAGTACAAAGCCTCATGGTTTGATTCGACCCATAAGCACAACGCACAAAGAAAGCATGCAGATAGCTACATATATACATACAGAGAGATATAGACAAATATAAGGTTCTCTGTTTGCTAGTTGCCGCGGAAGCTTCAGCCGGCTCGGCATGCCCGCTTCGTTTGTTCCTGATGCAACTGACTGTTAGGAGGAGGTGTCTTGCAGCATAGCCTCTGGGCCTGTTGTTGCCCCCCTTCCTGCCTCTGTTTCGCCCAGTGCAGTTAGTATTTTTGAGCCAGCCAGTCCGTCAGGTTCTGCGTAGGCGTCCTCCCCAGGTTCACCCATAAGAATGCGGCAAGCACGAAGCACTGAACAAGCAAGCAGACTCATGCACAAATGTATGCACACACATCAGCAACAGACTTAGCAGTTGGGGGCACTGAATGCATCAAATGCATGCAGCTCCTAAAAAGAAGACAAGGAGCCATCAGTGCGCTGTATCTCATGCTCCCAGCTGAAGTGCGCAGAGAGATCGTGTATATATGTGTGTGTGTATGTATGTGTATTTATGTGCGGATGTGTTTGTGTGTATATACAGCTATGGGCTTCCGTACAACAGCCGTTGCAACACGTGCTGCTGCCACCGTCCCTGCAGCGGCACGCCGCTGCCTCGACGTGCTGCTGCAGCAACTCATGGGCTTCCAACAGCAGCTGGATATACTCCTCATCGCTGCAACAGCAACAGCAACAAGCAAACAAACAAAAAAACACACACACGCACACGAGCAACAATGAAGCAACCGAGTGGCAAGACAACTTTGAGCCACGCAGCACAAAAATAATTCTCCAAGGCAAGAAAAGGTGGGCCTGAACATCATCGGTAGCCACAACAGCAGCAGCCACAGCAGTCACAACAGCAGCCACAGCAGTCACAACAGCAGCCACAGCAGTCACAACAGCCACAACAGCAGCCACAGCAGTCACAACAGCCACAACAGCAGCCACAGCAGTCACAACAGCAGCCACAGCAGTCACAACAGCCACAACAGCAGTCACAACAGGCACAACAGCAGCCACAGCAGTCACAACAGTCACAACAGCAGTCACAACAGGCACAACAGCAGTCACAGCAGTCACAACAGCCACAACAGCAGCCACAGCAGTCACAACAGCAGCCACAACAGTCACAACAGCAGCCACAGCAGCCACAGCAGTCACAACAGCAGCCACAACAGCAGCCACAACAGGCACAACAGCAGTCACAACAGCAGCCACAACAGCCACAACAGCAGCCACAGCAGTCACAACAGCAGCCACAACAGCAGCCACAGCTGCTTACCTGCAAGAAGGCAGGACAGCCTTTCGCAGCAAACACCGCGCGAGCTGTATGGACACGAGGTGTCGTGCAAACACAAATTTTCGCCCCCCAGCAGCTGCAGCAGCGGCACGAGCGAGAGGCAGTGCCTCACAAACTCTGCGACGCAAGGGAGAAGAGCAGAGCGAGCACAGCGCTACGGGCAGGAAGCCTGCAGCCGAGCAACTTCGCGCAAGCGTGTAGGAGGGGATACGCGAGAGGGTCGAACAGCGGGGATGCACAACAGACAGACGCAGCAAGAGCGAAGACAACCAACCGATTAGCGCGAAGTCTGGCGAGTGACAGTTCATAGCAGGCACGAGGATCTCGAGGCCGGAGCGCGCTGCACAAAGGCGGGCAGTTGAGCAGCAGTGTTGCAGCAACATGTACACCCGAGGGAATGGCAGCAGCCGTCAAGGTTGCAAAGGACTGACTCAATCCTCTGTAAGGCAGCCAGCATTATGGAGGAGGAGAAGCAGGATGGCTAAACGCACAACAGCAGCCTGACAACACGCGCAGGTGCTGCAGCAGCCGTTGCAGCCGTTGAACCAGTCTTACTAGGCCCTTTCAAGGCATGCGAGAGGACGTGGAGAAAGGCCTCTCGGATCTGACTCGAGCGCGAATAGAATCAAAGGCAGTGAACTCCTGCATCATGCAGCCGCAACCCCCAAAGCTTTAACTGCCCGCCTCGTTTGCATGCCACTGGAACGCTTCTGCCTCCCTTATTCTATCGCGCTGCTCGTCTCTCGCTCCAGACTACAGCGCTGTCTGCCTCTGCTTCCCCCAACTCTCCTTCCACTCTCTCTCCCCCCGCTTCGGGTTCTCTGAGGCGTTCTGTCCTTCGCTACCCTCCCCCTACCCCAGCTCTCCCATCAGCGGCAGACGGAGAGGGGCCTACTCCCTACCCAGGAAGCACCCTGACCGCCTCTTCATAAGCACAGGCAGCTTGCTGCTGCTGCTGTGGCGCTGCAAGACTCAGACAATGCCCTAACATCACATGGCAAGGGGCCCACACGGGCGACAACAGGGGGCCTCCCGAGCTCCTCCTGATACTCCGCCTGAAGCGCGAAAAAAATTATCCAAACGCGCTCCTCAAGCATTTGCAACCGTCAAGCGCATGCACAGGCCCACTAACGGAGCGCCGAGAAAGCGCACATTCTGAACCCCCCCAACCAGAAACGGACCGGAAACAAGCGATGGCATCGACGTGCTGAGACTGCATGACCAGGAAAACTCCCTCCTAAATGCGCAAGAACTCGAAATCAGCCCGCACGCATGCACCCCACCCACAGCTGCGCCTCGCTCAAGAGCGTGCAACAACAAGCTCCTGACTGCATCACCCGCAAGTAGGCGTCCATACACCGAGCGACCCAGGTGTGCAGCAACACGGCTAGCTCCAACAGCGCCAGCGTTTCCGCAATTCTTACCGCGTAGAATCGCAAAGCGTCCATTGCAGGCTGCTGCCTGAGGCGCTGCAACAAGCTCAGCAAGTCTGCAGCCCTCCCTGCACAAGAAAACAACAAGCTCAGCACGAACTACGGCACACCACTCCCAAGCATCAGCAAGCGCCTCGGCAGCAGCCAAACCGGTGCCTGCCTGCAGGAGCAGCAACGGCGAGAAGAGAAGAGAACAGTCGCGAATTACCGAGCTGCATGCAACAGCTAATATAGACAGGTGCCGCATACAAACCCTCGCTCAGCACCTCCAACGCCCTGAAGAAACCACAACACACACCCCAACCCCCCGCAACTCAACATGTCAGCATGCTTTCGATCCTACAGACCTCGCACACACACCCTCATCAGCGGGCAGAACCATGGAAACAGCTTACAAGCGAGACACTTCGAACGCTGAAGGAATGTCGCGCTCTGCATGCAGCGCAATAGCCTGAATGCTCAGGTTCACACTGCAGCAGCAAACACGGCAATATCCGCAAGCGCAGCCCACCCCAGTAGCGTCACTGACAGCCTATCAGCAGCTGCAGCAGAATAGGCAGCAGTGATGCACCGATCGAAGACTCAACACACGACGCCACACCCACCGTGCGTGGCAACAGAAAGGGAAATCGCTTATGCCGCCTTGTATCCCGCCTGTAAACTCTGCCAGAGTTCAGCTCCCTCAGGCTTCATCTCACCTAGACAGCCGTGCAAGGGGTGGCAGTAAGCGCGTTGGATAACGGCAGGCAACTGCTGCAAGGGCTGGATACTGCAGCCGCTCCTGCAGCTGCTCCTGATCCGTCTGCTGCACCTTTTGCTGCTCTAGCTGCCGCAGCTCCTCCTCGCATGCCGCAAGCACCACCAAGGTTTCATCGTGCTCGCGATGCTGAGAAAGCGCTTGCTGCTGCCGCTGCTGCCGAACGCATTCAAGAAATTCCATCGGAGCCTACAAGCAGACGGGAAAGCAAAAAAAGACACAGCGCAGCAGGCACAAACCAACGGCAGCTCAGAGCCTCCTCGTTGCTGTCCACAAAAAGAATCAAAAAGCAGTGAAGGCTGCACCTCCCGCTGCCGCCGTCTTGCGCGCTCGCCGCTGATATTGCCGCTTGTGCTGCTCTGCTGTGCATTGCCAACGAACCATTTGTGCCGCAGCAGAAGACAAGGCAATCGCGAGGTGTCTATACGCATCACGCAGCAGTCATGCAGCCAACTTTGCTTGCTTTTGCTGTGAGCTGTGAGTGTGTGTGTGCGTGTGTGTCTGTATGTGTGTCTCTGTGTGTGCATCTCTGTGTGTGTCTGTGTCTGTGTGTATCTCTGTCTGTGTGTCTCTGTGTGTGTATCTCTGGGTGTGTGTCTGTATGTGTGCATCTCTGTCTGTGTGTCTCTGTGTGTGTATCTCTGGGTGTGTGTCTGTGTGTCAGTCCGTATGGGCAGTGCTTCTGCTGCTGTGTGTCTGTATATATATATATATGTATACATATATATGAACAGTGCTTCTGCTGCTGTGTGTCTGTATATATGTATAGATATACATATATGAACAGTGCTTCTGCTGCTGTGTGTCTGTATATAAATGTATGTATACATATATATGAACAGTGCTTCTGCTGCTGTGTGTCTGTATACATATATATATATGTATACATATATATGAACAGTGCTTCTGCTGCTGGGTGTCTGTATACATATATATATATATATATATATATGTATACATATATATGAACAGTGCTGCTGCTGCAGTGTGGTGGTATACGGACAGTGCCCAGCTGCAGTGGCGGTAGTCGGCAGCAGCAAGGAGAGCAGCCTCTTGCTGAGTGGTCAGCACGCCGGAGCCGAAGAGGAGGAACAAAAGCTGCAGCACATGTCAACTCCTCGGGATCTGCGAAAGGCTGGACTGCAGTCTCCCAAGAAAACAATCAAAGCAGGAAGCGTTGAGTGCTGCAGCAGCTAGATGCCATCGCCTGACGCCTCTTCGGCTTGACAGGGCACGAGCGCGAAGCGCACAGCGTTTCCGGTGTACTGACACCTCTGCGGTGGCACTGAAGTGAGTAAGCGCTTGCCTTAGGCCTCAAAGGATTCTTCAGAAAGGCACCCTGAAGCTCCCGAAGAGCATCCTCAACACAGCCTAGCAAATCTAAAGCCTCTCCAAGCTTAGCCTGCAAATACTCACACCACAGCATGCACGGCGGCTTAGGCGGCGCGCATCAGCGGAGGCAAAGCGAAGCAGAAGGGCAGTGCAGAGCAGCAGCAGGAGCAAGGCAGACAAGGCCAGGCGCTAACACAGCAGCACACTGTACCTGCATGAGGTGGGCAAGAGGCGACGCTTCCCAAAGGGCACGAGTTCTCTCTAACAAGGATCGACATGCTGCTACGCCTGTCTTGTTTCCCTCTTCCATCTGCAGCAACACCCGCCTCCAGGGAGAGATGCTTTTACCGCACGTGCCAAAGGGCACCGATAAAAAACGACAGAGACACAGGTACTTTCAGGAAGAGCTGCAACAGGAGAAGCAGCAGGAGCGAAAGCAGCAGAAGCAGAAGCAACAAAAGGAACTGAAGCAGCAACAGAAGCAACAAAAGGAACTGAAGCAGCAACAGAAGCAGAAGCAGCAGGAGCGAAAGCAGCAAAAGGAACTGAAGCAGCAACAGAAGCAGCAACAGAAGCAGCATTAGAAGCAGAAGCAACAAAAGGAACTGAAGCAGCAACAGAAGCAGCAACAGAAGCAGCATTAGAAGCAGAAGCAACAAAAGGAACTGAAGCAGCAACAAAAGCAACAACATCAGCAATAGCAGCAACAGAAGCAGTGTCAGAAGCAGAAGCAACAGAAGCAACAGCGTCAACAACAGCAGCAACAGAAGCAGCAGCAGCAACAGAGCAGCAGTATTAGCACCAACAAAAGCAACAACAACAGCAACAACAACAAAAGTATAACCACGATCGACAAGATAGAGGCTTATTTCTGTACAGGGTCAGCTTACGTGGCACGTGGCAGCTAGGAGCAGCAGATGCGGATCTTGGAACGTCCATTGTCGGAATGTCACCAGCAGCTGCTGCAATAGACGTTCTTGCAAATTGTTGCGCAGCAATGCCTCTCCAAAAAGCCTCAGGCTGTCAAAGTGCAGACACCCACAACTGCCTGTAGCGCTGGTAGGGCCTGTGTGTGAATCGCTGCCATCCCTACTTCTGAGGGGGTTCGATTTCTTGCCTTCCCCGTGCTGCTGCTGCTGCTGCTGCTCCGTTGCAGCCGCCGGTATTCTCGCGAGTTCGCTGCCGCAGCAGCAGACTGTCTGGACAGGGTATTCTCGCAGCAGCTGCTGCGCTGCAGCAGCAGCCGCCGTCGATGCATGCATGCCACAGGCGTCTAGGGCCCCTTCAGGATGTGCGAGCGCGACGAGAAGCTCTGCATGCAGCAGCATCGCTGCAAGAAGTCGGCAGCAACAGGAGCAGCACACCACCAAAGGGGTCTCAACGGCTTTGCTGCGCAGCGTAATGAATCTCGCACAGGAGCCAACACAAACGAGGCTATGCGCAGCAACAACAACATCAATGCCTGCAACCAACCTCTTCTTATCTCAGCAAAAGAACCCCCAGGCGCCACCCCCAAGCAACCTACTTTTTTGATCTTGATAAGCTCTCGCCTTCAAGCAACCCTGCCTCAGATGCTCGTACAACTGCAGAGGCCTGCTGGCACTTGCTTGCGCTTCATCAGGTGCGTTGGCTGCTGCATCTGCTGCATGCGCGGATGCAAGCGAAGTGGAGCAAGGCCTTTTATCGAGGATACTGGAGGCATCCACCATCTTGGCAAAGCCCCCTAAGGGGACCTCGGCCTGTACAGCCGCTTCTGTGCTTGGTGCGACAACTCCACGCGTCAGCACACTGCACTAGCTGCAGCAAGAGACTGGCTGGTGTAGAACGTAGTGCCCCTTAGATTACAGGGACGCACTCCCGATGTTGGTAGTGGTGTGGTTAGTGTTGTTGTTGCTGTTGTTTGGTGTTGTTGAATGTTGTTGTTTGGTGTTGTTGTTTGGTGTTGTTGTTTGGTGTTGTTGTTGTTTGGTGTTGTTTGGTGTTGCTGTTGTTGTAGTTTGGTGTTGTTTGGTGTTGTAGTTTGGTGTTGTTTGGTGTTGTCTTTGTCGCAGAAGTTGCTGTCGCGGAAGCTGTTTCGAAGGCGTCTGAGGCAGTCTAACTGGTGACCAGACAGCTGTGGCTCATACATACACCGCAGGAGAGCAATGAGTCTTTCAAGTCAGGGGTATACGCATCGGTGTAGCTACAGCGTTTTAGGACAAAGCCTCTTCGTGTGTCCCTCTCGGCATATTCCCCTTCCTATGGATCTCAAACTGAACGTAGGCATTCTCACAGAAGGGGTGAACGGGGGAGAGAGGAAGCGCGGGGCAGGTGCAAAGAGGCGAGGTCCCCCCGGTGGGGCCCTATGATCAGCCAGGGGTGCCTAATACCAACGGAAACAACCGTTACAGATTCTTTGCGGAAACAGAGAACTGCACCGGCCATTATATACTGAAATACAATGGCATTTCTCGCCGAGACTCAGTGGTCGGTGGCGGTATTAACCCCTCACCGACCAACGTGCCTCGCATTGTCTTTGCTGGCAGATCCTGAGCTCGCTGCGTGGGCTAGGAGCCCATCCTTCCTTCCAATGGTTTCCTTTTAGAATTAAAATGTCTTTCCACTTCGCTTTAAGCTTCAACCATGTATGCTTCCTCCTGCCTCTCTTTATATTTCTGTACCTTTACTGGGGAGCAGTGCGAGCTGTCCTCTGTGGGCTTCGCTTGGCACTACCATAGTCCCTTCGCTTGGCTGCTGCTGCTGATCACGTAGTATAGAAACTCCTTCCTTCAGGCGCCTGTGCGCTAGCTGTTGCTGCAGCGAACAAAGAAGTTAACTTCGTCGGAGGCTGCTGCACTTCACGCCTAAATGCAGCGGGCCATAGCCACACTTCGGCACTCCCTCCTGCGCTGGCTTTCCTGAGTTGGAAAAGCAGTAAAGGATCTACCTTTGGGTGTAGCTGGTCAGATATTTCAGTTGTTGCATGGTAAACGCAACGGCCAGAGACGGCAGGCTGGGGAAGGAGGCAGCTGTAGAAGGAAACTGCAGCCACAGCGTATCCAGCTGCTGTCATGCTGCACCTGCTTAGACAGTCAAGGCTGGATCTTGTGTGCCCTTGCGCATTTAGCTGCCGCTATGTGCATCTGGATGTGAATGTATGCCCGGGGCACGTAGAGAGGGCAGGACAGCTCTTGTGCGCTCTCACTGTATAATCCTCATTTCCTGAGGGGTAAGGACGGCAGCTACAGGGAGTTCGCTGTGGCTGGCACTATTCAATAGCCTACTATTGCGTTTTGAATGAGAATTTGGCCTTTAAGATTCCTTAAAGAAGGGTTCAAAGGGTGCGCCACATGAGAGGAGGGCCTCTGCTGAACACCTTTAAACCCTTCGCACAAAACGGCATTAATCTCTTCACACGAACCGCGTTCCTCGGCGCATCTCTACGGTGGCATCTGTACTACTAGGAATTGCCTGAGGCACCAGGAGCGAGCGTCTGCCTGCCAGCTTCCAAAAACAAACAACCCAGCCCCTCAGGCCCGTGCATATTTTATCGCTGCAACTTCCCAAGTGCAGCAGTTTGCAAGCCGCTGAACCCAAGGAAGTGTCGCCACGGGATGCCTATATACATGAGGACTGGCTACAAACATCAGTGCAAAGTTTAGAGCAAAGCGGCTCTTGTGGGTGCTTTTTCTTCACACCGCCACACACGGGCGCTGCATCCTCCGTGCTTCGAGGGGCTGTTGGCTGGTGTGGATGGGCATAAAGCCATCCCAGATTGTCGTAAACCCTCGAGGTAATCAAATTTTTTGAGTGGGTTGCGTGGGGAGTCCTGTGAGACGCTACAGGCAGACAGCCAAAACCCTTTTTCGGAAGAAGGGAAGGGCAAGACACGAAGGCGCGCGAAAGCTTGAAGGGTGTCAGGCCATGTACGCGGGCACGCAAAGAAGAGGCCTCCTCCTGTAGATTTAGTTGCTCTTTTGTGCCTTTGCGTGAGGCTTGGGCGCAATCTTTCGGTGTCGGAGGTGTGACCGCAGAAACAGAAGGGCCCAGTACGAATTCAAGATTACCCAGAGGCAGCAGGAAGTGGCAAAAGAGACGCGTCTGAATCGAGGCGCTTCCGCTGTGAAGGTACACCCGCGAAGCCACTCCGTGGCGAGATGGGAGAGGGCAATAAACGGCACAGTAAAAAGCCTGTACGATATGAAGAGACAGGCGGCTCCAGCGTTTGCAAGCGCGAAAAGGGGTGTGTCTGTCTGCTTCCCTTGGATCAGAAACCACCGCAAGTGGAGCACTGGCGTAGAGATCTCACTCAAGCACATGAAGGCTGATATACCTGGGGAGTCACACGCATCCGCATCACGTTTAGGCGCAGCTACACCCCCTCCGCACAAGCCTACCTTTCCACCTTTACACACACACATCTACTGCATGCACACTGATGCAGCCACGCCGCAGGCGAGGCCCCTCCGCAGCGACTTCTCGTGCGTGCGCCTCAGCCGACTCCGCGTAGAGTCCGACTTAAGGCGAGCAAAATGACGGGCAGTCGAACGAAAACGCTCCAGCCGCACAAAATGGCAGACCAAAGCTTGCGGCAGTCTTTGCCAGGCACAAGATTCTGGCGGGAAGGCAAGCGCGTGCGGGCTGTTCAGAGCGCAGAGGCTTGCTTACCCGTCATCCTGCCCTTCGGAGCCAAGAGGTAGGAGACCATCGCGTACAAAGAAAGAATGCCATGCAGCACGAAGGCGCGCGAGTGGACGTCTCTGTTTTTTAGACATTCCCACAGGTCCCACATGAAGTATCCCGCCATTACGTAGGCTGCAGCATAAACCACAGAGGAAGGCGAGGAGGGGGTGGGGTTGCCACAACCTCTTTGCGCCGCTGCAGGGATTTTTCGCGGAGTGGCGAAGCAGCTGGCTCCGTGAGCCTTTCAGGGAAGAGAGGGGCGGGGAAGGGGGGAAATACACAGTTGAGGGTGTGTGTTCTTAGGATTCGACGCCTACCAATAATATCCAGCAAAAAGCTGTGAAAGTTATAGAAGGCGTATGTCTCTCCCCAGTCCCAAAGGGCCCACTTGAGTACTCCCAAGGGCCCCTTGTCCGGAAGGGGAGGGCCCCCAAGTTCTTCCCAAGCCTTGTTAAAAGTCACCCACAGCACTGCCAATGCCATGGGGCATATGAGTGTCGCATGCACGAAGGCTGTTGCGTTGGCGCGGGCTGTTACATAGTACTTCCTGAGCTCTTGGGGGGAGTCTTCCGCGCTTGAGGTCCCCACAAGAGCCCCCTCGGCGTGAGTCGAGACGCCAGCAGACTTGGCTCCTGGCAAAGCCTCCGTCTTGGCTTTTTCATGAGGACCTTGTCGATAGAGACGCACCTTTCGGCTGTGCTCCTTCCAAGCCGCCGCTGGGAGGAAGTAAAAGGGGACGGACAGGGAGAGCCTCTGGTGGACATACACCCACGCCACTGCACTGAGAGCCAGCCAAACCAAAGAAAAATCGGATGAAGAATACAACAGCCCCTCGACGCCTTCACTCAAGGTCGCCGCCATCTCGGCTTCCTCCACTCAACTCCGCCGCTGCACACCGGAAGTAAGGGGTTCCTAGTCGCGTTCTAGGGAATTAAATGTAGCGCACGTGCAAGAAAGCCCCAGGAAGGTATCTTAGGCGATCAGAGAAGCCACACAACGACTTGGGGGGTGAACTAAAAGTACAGACTCTTGGGATGCCACCCCACGGGATTCAGGGTGAGTGGCCCATACGTGTAGGTCTAGGATTTAGCGCTTTTAATTCGGAAGTTCATGGCTAAGGACTTCATGTGGCAAGACAGAGAAGGCACTGCGAAACGCCAGGGTGTCTGCTCGGGGAATGATCGTGGATGACTGGTGCGGGGGCTGCCAAGTAGTCTGTATGTGTGGGGAATTACTATCCTTTGGCGCGTCTGCTGAAAAGCATTGAATCATACTCTCTGAAGTGTGTATACAGCCGGAAAATCTATAGAATTCCCTAGAATACGGGCACCGAGGCAGCATTTTCGGCGCAGTGCAGCCAGTCAGCAGCGCGGGCGTCATAGGGGCCCTCCTACTCTACATCCGAGTCCGCTTTTAGTTACGGGCTGTATCTACCACCGAATACTTATCAGTAGCTAAAAACAAAACCAAAATGGGTTGCTAGAACTTGGTACATAAGGTTTGGGGTTTAAGCTTCGAGGTTTGTAACTTTGATACGGTGCCCTTCAGCAGGCGGCAGTCGAGCGCGGATCAAAGGCGTCGCTAGTTGGCAGAGCCATGGCGTTTCGGTGATCCTCTAGCGTCTTAATATCACTCGATGCCAAAGTACCAACTTCCCTTCCTGAGCCTTTTCTTCACAGTATCTCGTAAATCCTAGCTTTTCTTCAAGCCCTAGTCCAGTTAGCGCCGCACTTCCTGCGGCTTTGGTATATATCAGCTTTCCACACCGCCGACGCGGAGCAGCGAGCTAGCTCTTGCTAGTGCCTTTCCCCAATCTCTCTGCTTCTATCGCTTTTTCTGCCCCTCTAACAACAGTGTTAGACTCGAATTAAGGCAGTAAGCCGCAGAAAAAATCCCCGGACGCTTTCCCCGTGCTCCCCAGCCCGTCGAGTAGGCCTCGCTGCTGCCGACAGTCGCTCGAGAGCTAGAGAGTATAGGCCATTTCGGCTGACGCCCCGCCCTTCTCGCTTCTAAATGTATTTCCATGCATTCATTTCGACCTTCTAGCTACCTTCGAGCGCTTTTCCTCCGCTTTCGCCCTCTTCCTTCGCACACACACCCCCCTCTACGCCACCCTTTTCTCGCCTCTGCTGTCCTCAGGCTTCTCCAAGATGGCAGACGCAGAAAAAACACCCCCTCAACCCAAGGCAGAGGCGACTGACGCCCAGGGGGCCCCCTCAGAGGCCCCCAGAGGGGCCTCAACCCCAAAGGGTGCCACTACCAGCCCTGCTCCAACTCCCCGAGGTGCCCTCTCCAAGGGATCTGGCGGACTGCAAAAAAGCCACAGCGTGAAGTCGCAGGTGTCATTCTCTGTGGATCCACCCAGCAAGAAGAGCAGCATGACGACCAAAGAGTTCATGGAATATCGGCAGCACAGCAGCATAGGCGGCCTCTTGCCTTCAAACTTCTTCTTAAGTCAGGAGGACATCCGGATTTGGGGTGTCGAGGACCTCACAGACCCCTCCATACAGCCCTATGACAAGGATTCAGAGTGTATGTCATCGACAGAAAGGCCACGTGTGCTGTACTCCCCTTCTACGTGCACACCACTGCCTCCTCCATACAAACAGGGCCGCTGTACATGGTGTATGCATGTGTAACTTGTGCGCACACAAATATATAGGCGTAATGCTGCATACATGTGTACCCTTAGGGCTTAGGATGGGAAAGTGGAGACTTCGTTCCTCCACAGCACAGCGGGGGGCGGAAGGGGAGGAGGGGGTATCTGTCCGTTTATATATATATACATATGTGATTGTGTACATAGGTGTGTGTATGTCTATTTGTCTGCCTCGCTTTTGTCCATTTGTTTGTCTCCCTGTCTGTTTGTCTGTCTCCCTCTCGCTCTCGCTCTCTCTCGCTCTCTCTCGCTCTCGCTCTCTCTCGCTCTCTCTCGCTCGCTCTCGCTCTCTCTCGCTCTCTCTCGCTCTCTCTCTCTTGCCTGTTCAGTCACTCGCTTACTTTCTGCATAAATATATATATGTGTGTATGCTCGTCTCCCCTCGTGTGCACAATACTTTTCTCCCCTCTCATCTAGTTCCTCCAAAGATGAGGCCTCTCTTTCAAGGGCTTTTCTGTTTCCACGGGCGACCGCCTGTCTATCATGTTGTGAATCCTTCCCGCCGCTGTGCATTGTTTGTTCTGCCGCGCTCTTGTATGTCGGGATGTGCGTGCAGCGCTGCCCAGACCCTTCCACGTGTCTCTGCCCGGATATGCCCCTCATCTGTGCCAATACGTTCTTCGCCACGGAGAGAAGCAGCCAAGAGACGCACTATTAGGTCCGGAGATTACGATATTCCCCCCTACATGGGTTCCCCAGTGGACTCCAAACCCCAACTTCAAGCCTCAGCGCTACGGCTACAACTGTGAGACAGGCCTTGAGATCTTAAGGCCTTAACGATCCCCCTTGCTCGTGAAACACTCCACCCACAGCACAGCCCTGGCAGCGCATCCCACATCCACGCTAGGCCCTCCGCCTGAGAGATCTCAATTTGCTCTTGCGCTATAAACATACAGCCTTCTTCCAAAGCAGAGAAGCAACCCTCTCCCTAAGGCCACTTGCCACTCTACCGCTGCCCCTTGCATGTAGCGCTCTTTTGGTGCTGCGGGAGAGCAGCAGACAGACGGGGGGGTGGTGTTCGCGACTGGGGGGCCCACGTCTGGCGGGCATTACAGCACCACCACCCCATCTGTCCTCTGTTTGGAGCGCTGCTGCATGACGCTCCATCCCTCCTTCCAGTCTTCCCAGTAAATCTCCTAGCCGACTAGGAGATTCACTGGCGAAGATTCATTGCTGCAGCTCCTTGAAGTTCACGCTCTGTGCTGGGTGGCTGCTGTGTGCAGGGCAGGATAGCGAGGCTTACAAGATGGATCGCTTGCCGTACGTGAACGCCGAGTTCAACCCCACGGCACCTGACGCTACCCACATGTACAGGCAAGCGTATCCCTACGCGGCCTACCCGTACGGCGTTCCCAGAGTCTGAAGCAACGACAAAGACCGCAGTAGGGAGGTCCCCCCCCTCTCCAGCCAGACGGCGGGCGATGTAGAGAGGCGTTCAGGGACGGAGCGCAGCACACAGACTGCCTGCCGCCTGCCTTGCATCCATGCACTTGTACAGAGGTACACAGAATGAGCGGGAGAAGAAGAGTAAAGGCAATCGGGGAAGCAGTGTATACACTTGTTTATTCCACGCACCACACAGCCCCTCCACTCGATTGTACCGTTCTCTGCTCACAAGGGAGCAGCCCTTTAGCTCTAAAAGCGTCCCACTTCACACCAACGCAAGCACCCACACATGTATACCACCTACACACAAATATATACCCATATATATACAGACATGTATCCACACATACACACTACCTGCTCCCATGCAGTAGTGGACCACATCTCCTCTTTCCTCTTCCCCCCCGCCGTACGATTTTTAAGGTTTATGGTGCATGTACGGTGTCACGGAGAATGCTCTGCCAGCAAAAGCCACCTCCTGGACGTGTTCAGTTAGCGAGAGTACAGCTTCTAGCCAGCGGCACGCCGATGTAGCATGCAACCGCTGACAGCCGCACGCCCTACATACACACGGGGCTGTGGTGTGTTAGCCTATTGATTTCGTTAGCCTTGAGTGAGAGACACGGGAGGTAGGTAGACACTCGACTAGTAGACTGACAAGAGAGCCGTCTTCTCAGCAACAAGGTGTACTACTGGAGTGCAGAACAGCAGAAACAGAACTAAAGGTTCTTTATCTAAATTGAAGCACACTTTCGGCTGGGTGAGGAGGCCTTGCCCAATTCCTAAGCAGACGTCCTCGCGCGAAGCTAGCGCCTCCCACTACAACAAGCCAGCGCATCCCGAAAGGACGAACCCCCTTGCAGGGACCAATGAAGCGATCGCATGCTGGTGCGCCACCGCAGGAGGGCTGTCCTTGCGTGGACCCTTGAGGAAGGAGCTTTCAAACAACTAATGCTTACGGCGGAGATGGCGGGGGAAGGCGAAAGCGTCTCTCCAGACTATAGCCATCGCCCTCAGGGGGAGATGGTCGAGAAATGCCTCGTCGAGGTCTTAGAGATCTGCTTCTTTGGGCTTTGCCCTGAAGAGACCCTTCCCTACCCCTATGATGTGCAGCTTTTTACCTCGAGTGTCTCCCTCCCTAAACAAAGTGCAAGGCTCCACCTGAAAGACCGAGCAACCGACCCTCTGCAGGAAGCGCCTTAAATTGGACTATTTCCTGCGACTCCCCCAACTCCCCGAGGGACGCTGAGAGAGGGGGCAGCAGAAACTACAGTGGAAAAAACGAAGGGACCTCCTGCGTGCTTCTCTTCACCTTCCTACCCCCTACCACGACCCCCTCTCCCCCTATCACCACGACCTCCACATGCGCTAAAACCCCAAAGGATTCTTTTTCAAAGCTCAGAATCCGGCCCGTCGTCCCCTCGCTGCGCTTCGCGCTTCTGTTTGTTTGCCTCCTTCCTTTCCTGCCTGGCGAGGGCTTCTGCAATGCAGACACGGCGGAAGGCACCGGAGAGCGTGCGGGGTGGGTGAACCGACACAGCCGCACAGGCAGACGACCAGGGCGGCAAGTCCAAAACACACAACACAGACGCGCACAGCACAGCAGACTAGGGGTAGAAAACGTGCTCCTACACAGGACGTGTAATACTGGCTTTGACCTACTCTCGCGCTCCTTCTTCTGCTTCTTAAGATCTGTGTAGCTTCCGCCTGCCCAAGCCTCTCGAGACTTGGCCTTCTTTTGTCGCATCTGCTTCTGAGCCTTCCGCAAGCGACGTGCATCGTCCTGAGGACAGCCACCACTCAGCAGAGGCACGCAGGCAGACACTGACGCATGCATAGGCAGCAGCCTCGAAAGCGCACGTATGCATGCACAGACCAACTGGAGTCAAGCAGACAAACACCTTCCAGGACCTCCAAAAAGCACAAAAAATACAGCGTGTTGTCAAAAGCAAAAGGCCAAAAAGTCGTTCATAACGCCTCCCACGCCTTACCAGAACGCGTTCCCCGCTTATTTTCCTTAATGCCGTCTCCGCAGCTGCCTGCAGTGCCACCTCCTCCCCACGACCCTCCACTGCCGCTTCTTCGAGCCGCCGACGCTGTGCCTCAATCTCCCTACAGCAAATGCAGCGGCAAGCAGAAACGCAAAACGCACACTCCTGAATCTCCTGCTGCAAATAGCGCAAAGGGCAGCACCAGCACCAAAGTCAACAAGAAGGATGCCGGCCATGCCGTACCAGCAGCAGCAAAGCAAGCAAAGAGGCACACACAAATATGCACACACACATACAAATATGCACACAGACATACAAATATGCACACACACATGCAAATATGCACACACACATACAAATATGCATACACACATAAAAATATGCGCACACACATACAAATATGCACACACACATACAAATATGCACAGACATACAAATATGCACACACATACAAATATGCACACACACATACAAATATGCACACACACATACAAATATGCACACATACACACAGAAACACCTCAGTAGGTGTGAAAGCTGCACATCATCCGCTAAGACTCTCACTTGAGTGCTGCTGCGATGCGCTGTTGCTTTGCCCCCTTCTTTCCGTGCCGAAGAGCTTTTGGCACATGGTCTCGCATTTCCATCGTGGAAAAGGAGAATCCGCCTTCATCGTCACCGTCTGCTGCTGCGAGTGATTTCTTTTTTGCCGCTGCTGCTGCAACCTCTTTCTTGGCCCTCTTTGCCTTCGGCTGCTCTGCCTGCTGCTGCGTGCCCTGCCCGTTAGCCGCTTGCCGTTCCCGCTTTTGCTGCGTCTCCTGCCGCTTCTCGAGCTTTGCTGACTGCTGCTGCTTCGTCTTCTCAGCTGTCTTTGCAGCCTTGTCTGTATTTTTTTTGCGTCCCCCGTGCTGTCTGAGCGCTTCAATCTTTTCACGAAGCCGCTGGACTAGTTCCTCCCGAGAAACTGCACCTTTTGCTTCCTGCTGCTGTTGGCAGCGCTTTTTCTTGCCTTGCTTCTGATTGTGCTGAGTTTGCTTCTGCTGCTTATGATCTCTTGCTGCTGCTGCATCGGCTTGAGCCGTGGACGGCAACATACTCTTCACGTCATAGCGTACACCCTGCTTCTCCCTTCTTATCTGGCCCCTGCTTTTCTGCCGCTGCTGCTGCTCCTGCTGCTGCTCCTGCTGCTGCTCCTGCTGCTGAGCATCAAAAGGGATACGATTCAAGAGCAGGCTGAGGCGTTGCTGCCAGTGCGAAGCCGCAGCAAGCAGCTGATCCACGTGGACTGCCGCAAGACTCTCAGGAGCATCTTCACTGTCTGAGGCGCATTCTGCCTTCTGCAACGCTCCGGCTGCACGGGCTTTTACCTCGACAGCCATGCTTACTGCTATGCGGTAAAGGGCACTCAAAGAACTGCGTCGGTGGTGCTAGGGCCTCTATTCTTCTCGACACCAAAACTCTTCCTTCTGCTTTCCACGCCTTTGCTGCCTTCTTTGAAATTTTGGCAGCCGCGTTCCCGCGGCAGCTGCTGCTGCCGCTCGTGCCGGGAGGCCGTGTCTGCAACGCGTCAAAATCACAGAAGTATATACACTGCTTGGAGTCCAATCCTTTCAGAGGAAGGTTTTTTCCTGTTTTCCCCACTTTTCAGCCCAAGCAAGCAGCAAAACGCGTCGCATTAAGCGGAGAGAGATGAGAAGACCAACGCGATCAAGGGCCTCTTTCGGCTACCCGGGGTGTGGGGCCGCGTCTTCACCGCCGCATGCGAAGGTTTCGTTGGCGTGGGAAAAACTGGAGGAGCGTTCTAAGAGTAGTGCAGTCTTGCGAGTTTCCGTCTGTTCGTTGCTGTGGAATTCCTCGCTGCGCAGTATATAAAGGCGTAAGTTGGGCGGAAAGGCGGCAATTCTCTCTCTCGGCATCCGATGCAGCAGGGGTCACAAGAAGACCCCCCCACAGAGGGGGGCCCCTCCTCTCCCGCAGGGGGGGCCCCTCCGTCGGAGGCTCCCGTTCAGGCGCCTTCTTCCCTCTTGCAGCAGCAGCGAAAGAGGCGGCCAAACACGTTAGGCTTGACGCGAGACACGCGATACACCGTGGAGCAGGTGCTGGACGGCAGAACTGTGCGGCACATCCAGTTTGTTGCGAGGGCTGCTAATCTCAAGAGGGTGTTTGGAGCAATTAGCTGCGGGAAGGAAGCAAATGTATATTTTGCTCTTGGAGAGAAACAGCCAGGTGAAGATGACCACCAGCACGATGGCCACCAGCAATCGCCGGAAACATCCCTAACGTTCTTTGCACTCAAGGTGTACAGAACCTCAATTCTTTCCTTCAAAGACAGAAGCAGATACGTCCAGGGAGACTTCAGATTCAACAATGCTTACTCACGGTGGGTGCAGGCGGTTCATCCAGTGCCAGAAGTGGGGTTCACACACACACACACACACACACACACACACACACACACATATGCACACACACACATATGCATATATATGCATATATATATGCATATATATATACACGTTAGCACTTATGGACATTTTTTGCACACATACGCGTATGCACATATACACGTGCTCGTGGAAACCTTGAAAGGCGTGCGGTATTGCGTGTTTCGCCGCCTTGCAACGGCTCCAGGGGGCCTTTTTCATGTTGAGTGGTGTGTGCCGCGCGGCTGGAGTGCGTGCTGCAAAGGGGGATGCTGCTGCTGCGTTTTCGTGTACACGTGCATGTGCAAGGCTTGTTTTTCGATGTCGGCGCTGCTGCAGAAACCGAAACCCCCGAAAGATGGTGGCTGTTTGGACGATGAAGGAGCACAGGAATCTGCTGCGCTTTCGAGCCGCAGACTTGCCATGCCCCCGTCCAGTGGCTCTGAAAGGAAACGTTCTTCTCATGGAATTCGTGGGAAATGCTTCTTACGCTGGGCGAGCCGCCAGCATGGACGGTGGAATTACGTGTAGAGGAAAAGAGGAAAGGGAGCTGGAGGCTGTCGTCAAGCAGGGAGGGGCCTTGAAAGAGATATCCGAGGCTTTTTCAGCGTCAGCATCGGTGACAGCAGCGTCGGATGCATCCCCTACGGAGCTGTCTGAGGCTCCATCAGCAACAGCAGTGGAGGCAGCCGCAGTGGCGCGTAATGGAGGGAGTGAGAAAAGCACCAGCGAGCAGCATCATGAGCTGTGTGGCTGTGGAGATTTCTCCTTTTCTTTTAGCGCCGAGCTTCTTTCGTATGAGGCAGCTCCTCGGGTGAAGGATCTGTGCGGAATTTCTTGGGATTTTGCTGCTGCGGCGAGGCAGCGCCGCTGTTGCTCCTGCAGCAGCTCCGGAAGGGGCTGCTTCGCATGCGGCTGGGGAGAAGTGGAGGCACAGCTAGCCGCAGGTTGGCGTGCCCTGTACATACAGTGTGTGCTGCTGTTGCGTCGACTGTTTCAGCAGTGCCGTGCGGTCCACGGTGACTTTAGTGAATACAACTTGCTCTTTCACAACGGCCGCGTAGTGCTCATTGATGTGAGCCAGGCTGTCGAAAGAGACCATCCACAGGCGCTCGAGTTTTTGAAGCGAGACTGCAAGAACGTGACGGGCTTTTTCAGCAAGCGCCTTGCCGCTTACAAAAGCAGTGCCCCTAACGGCGGCAGCTGCTGCAGCAGCAGCTGTCTCGGTACGGCGTCTTGCTGTACTGCAGAGTGCAAGGAGACGCGAGAAAGGTGGCCTTCATTCCCCCCCAGGCTGGACCGTAGCTCGCCTTTCTGTATGCCCTTTCGCCCCCTGTCCGTCCGCGAGCTTTTCGAGTTCGTGGTGCGTGCAGACATCCCCGAAGCACTTGCGCAGCGACGAGAGCATCAGCAGCAGCAGGAGGAGAAAGGCGCAGGGGACGGAGGCAGCAGCAGCAGTGGTGCGGAGACGCGAGCTACTGAAGAGGCGTTAGCCTGGTACCTTGCGCAATGCTCGGGCGAAAATCTCGAGGAAGCGGAGGCTGCCTCGGAGGGAGAGAGCGAGGGGGAGGAGGAGGAAGAGGAGGAGGAAGAGGAGGAGGAAGAGGAGGAGGAGGAGGAGGAGGAGGAGGAGGAGGAAGATGAGCAGGAAGATGATGACTCCAGCTGCAGCGGCAGCAGTAACGACGTGTTCTCGGCGGAGCAGGAAGTGGAGGACGCCGTCTTCTTGGAGAGCTGGGTGCCTTCTTCCTTGCACGATGTGTCCGATATTGCGGCTCTAGACAGATGGGCAGAGGGTGCGGCAAAGCCTGTCGATAAGGCCTTCCTCAGTCTTCACCAACTCGTCAACGATCCCGCTGCCCGGCGTTGTCGCAGTACCAACAGGAGCAGCAGCAGCGACAGGAGCAGCAGCAGCGAAAGTTCGGGAGAGTGCAGTAGGGCTGGAGGGGAACGCGGCGATGAGGCATTCGGGAGGGGGACTGTACAGAGGCGGAGAGGTCGAGGAAAGAGGGCAGGAGGCGAGGAAGAGGACTTCCCCCCTGAGGAACGTTTCACAGGTGTCATTCCTGAGGGAGTCTCCCGGAAGGATTGGAAGAAACAGGTTAAGGAAATGAATCGAGAGCGGCGGCTGCACAAGGTACCCAAGAGCCTAAAGAAAAAGTTTAGGAAAAAAGCAGCAAACAGATAGTGGCGGCCAAACAGCAGGAGGGCATTTGCAAGCCATCGCACGATCCAGTTTCTATACATAGTGTAGCGGCAAAAGCCGCAGAAGCTAGGGTTCCTCACGAGCGCCTTTTTGTCAGCTTGAGTCTCTTTGGAGTCACCTGAAGCCATAGGGCCTTCTACTTTTAACCCCCTGCGCTGCAGCTCAGAAGGAGCATACAAATGCATTCAGGTGAGGTTTTGCCCGCGCGTGTGCCGTTGGATGGCTCCCGACAGGTGTACACAAGAATTGCACGTTGCGCGCTAATGCATGCAGTCTTCGTAAAGGTTTTGCCGCTCTAAAGTTTTTACGTAAAGCGTCGCGGGCTCACGCGCTACGCTGAGAGGGAAGCCGAACAACCTGAAGATACCGTCTTATTCAATGCTCAAAAATCGGCCAAAAGGGGGAATCTGTGTATACCTCTCAACGTAAACATGTGTGTACATAGGTAATCTTAGGAAGGCATGCCTTATAGACCTATGTACGTATGAAGTCAGAGAGAGTGGCCCAGGCGCCGTCTTGGCACAGATAAAAGACATCGTACTTTCTCCCAGCATATCTTCATACGTTCGCTTTCTGAGGTGCCCTTGCTTCCGTCTATTGGAGCCTTTTAGTGGCGTTTCGGTCCAGGGCGTCATGCGTAAAGACGTGCCAGAAATAAGCGTCCACCGTCCTTTTGGCCATATTTTTGAGAGCTAGAATAGTTCCTTAGGTCCCATTATGCTGCCCGGTGTCTTGCCTGCCTGCCATTCACCCCGAAGAAATCCCGAGCACGCGACACATATTTCCTGACGGGCTGGCTGCACCGCAGCCATCGCGAGGCCAGCTATTAATGGAGCGCCTCAAAAAATGTGTCCCGCAGCACCCTGTACGATGCATGGACGCCGCTGTGTATCATTTCACAAATAGAGGCTCCTGCATACGCAGCGCTGCGCTTTCTGTTCCACGCGGAAGCTCTTCCAGTTCTAGTGCTACGTGCGTGCTGCTGGAGACGAGGCCTCTCACTCTGTAAGGATGGCATCTCTGAATATTGAAACGCGCAAAAACTAGGCTCTGATCTGAGGAAGGCGAGGAAGAGCCTCCCGGCCTTGCCCTTTCCCCTTAGCGCGTTGTCTGATGAATCCACCATACAACATACTGATCTTCCAACTACGGAATTTCCAACTGCAACGTGCGACATGCGCATAGTACCCTATGTAGTAGCTCCACAGGCATCAGATCTCAGCTTCTACAGTGGACCTCGTAAAAACTCACTATGCTCATGTGTCGCCGCGCTGGTCGTCAATGCCTTTCAGTTCGTGAATATTGAACACACTTTATGTGTAGCGGCCCAAGCACAATGTAGACGCTTTGTACCGAGCCTTTTTTGAATCCGTTCAAATTCATTAGGCATTGGCGAACTGAAGTGGCCGTTTGCCTAGTCTAGTTGCGTCCAGGTAAAGGTAGTTAGCCTCATGCTTCAAGAATGGATGCTTGGTCTGCATTGGGCTCAGCTAGAACTCGGCAGATTATACTACTCTGATTGTATTTCTCTTGAAATCGGTTAGAAATAGACTAGATGGGTCTCTTTTTCTTGCAACTTCTGCATTGCATAATAGTGTTAGCGCAACACAATACGGATCAAACCTGTGTGTGCATGCGCGTAGCGCTCTCTGCAACTAGCTGTGACTGCACGACACGCTTAGAGAATGCATCTACGCGCAAACTTGCTAATTTCCGTCCCCCCTCTTAAGACTCTGAGGGGCGCGGGAAGGGCAAGCGGCGAGCTCTTTCAAGACCACTCACAAACTTCCTATTGGGTATGCATTGAGCCTGGAGGTTAATGCCCCACTAAGACGACCTTATATGGGAGCTTACAAAAAGTAAGCACCAGGTCAGGATATAGAGCCTATTGATACCGGGGCTGTGTCAACCGGCCCTAAGCTACAGCCTCAAGCGGATGAGAACACAGAACTAAAGAGGATCCGGGTGCCGAAGCACTCCCATACATCCCCTCAACAACGCACCGGCTTCTATTGTAAGCAACTGAGTGGCATAATCCGAAACTACGCGCAGGCGAACATTCAAGAAGCTTGAAGAACAGGACTGAGCCCAGCGGGAACCCACTTCTCTGCCAGCAGAGAAGGCGCATCAGGGAACCGGAAAAGTAGCTACCCAGGCTGCGGCGCAGTGAAGAAAGCCAGAGGACAGGGCCGCAGTCAGTGCCTACCACAGGCTAACAATACGCTGCTACTCACGTTCATGCGTAATCAAGAATTTTTAGCTTCGCTTGACACTGGAGGTAAAGTTGAGCTGATATCCGAGGGGAGGCGCAGAACTGCAACGTGCCCGGTCACTCCATAGAGCACTCCCTAAGAATAAGGTGAATCAGGTTTGCCGATAGGCGGATGAGTGCAAGGGCTGGCAGGGCTCTGGCTTTTAAGTGTTACTACGAATCGAAGTAAAGTCCTACCAACATGGTCGGAGACTTCAATGCTGAGCTCGTCCACAATGACGCTATTCTAGGTATTCCACGGGGGATCCAATAAAGGGCATGCAAAAGACCACAGCTGCGCACTGCGAATGTGCTGATAATTCCTATGAAAAGGATTCTGGTCTCTCCTAAATCGCTCATTTCATGTATGGAGAGCGCAGGAGAGGTGGTGCCTTAACAAGGTGAGGCACAAGCTTGATGCGGGCAGCCCAGCAGAGTAGTAAGAGAAGACGTCATTTAACATGCGCCCCGTTATAGTGGCTTTGCAGTGTGCCACACAGTCTCCTCTTGGTGTGATGGGATCCTTCGATGCTTCGGAACATAGCGTGGAGGTGGCCCAGGGATGAGCTCATCACGGTGCGGTGGATGACCAGCACGTGGCGAGTCTGCCTGCAGCTCGTCATTATTTACCACATCTCAAAGAAAAATTCAGCTGAATTTTTCTCTGGTAAAAGTGGACATCAATAAATATGAATGAATTTGCAAATCTAAATAATACGAGCTGTCAGGAGGCTGGGCACTTGCTGGCTTACAGCGACCGTATCGACGTAATCCCTGAGTCAATCTAACAGTATGTAATGTGTTATCGGAAGTCCGCACAGCGTGCACACGCGACTGAACGACAGGATGATTTGTTACATCGAATAGCACCTTTGGGCACAACCCGGTGCTCGTGCCCAAAAAAGATGGAAGTTGGCGCACTTGCGCCTCTTAGCAATCATTGTGCAGCAAAAGTTTTCAATGCCTCGTATCAGCGAGTAGCTTGACAAAGTAGATAAGCACACGGTATAGTCTGAACTTACCTTCAGATGCCTGCTTACAACATCCCTAGTTACCTATCCAACAGCCACAAAACGACATTTCGTACCTGCCCTCGCATATTTCAATTGGTTCTTACTTTTGAATGCCCCCAGCTAAACTGTATTGGCTAGTTAGACAGGATCCGGTTGGCTTATCAACGATGGGTGAATGGCTCTGCACATGGATGACATCGTAGTGCTCGGTCGAAACGTTACAGCACACCTACCCCACCGACAGCATGCGCTGGAGCTGCTGCGGAACGAGTTGCTGCATGTGAAGGCAAGCGAGTGTTGTCTGTCGTTTACAAAACAATTGCAATTCTGGGATTCGGCCCTTTGGTTGCAGGAACCAAGCCATATCCGACAAAATTTTCCGATGTATTCGCAATTACATTGCAAAGCTAGTGGACTTGCCTCGAAGTACCCAGAGTTGATTCCTAGACTATATAGGATAGGCGCTTCTTCGGCTGATCTGCTTAAGAAGAGCTGTAACCTGGACAGAGGGGTTCCATGCTGCAGCAAGGACGCCTAAAGGACGCATTGCAGGCAGCACCTCCAGTACTCTCTCTTCCCGGTCAAGAGAGTCATTTCATCCAAAGAATTACTGCTGATGACATACTGGTAGGGGCTACTTCCACCCAACAGAATACACGTTTTCCACAGCGCCAAACTAATGCTTGCAATTTTTCTCGCTACACGAAAACTGAACAGCTGTATCCAGTGCGGGAAAGCGCTCTAGGCGGTATGGGTGGGGGTTAAAAACACCAGAACCATTCAAATGCATGTCCTTTTACTCTCCAAACTGGCCAACAGGCTGTCATATACCTCACGCAGAGTTTCGAGGACTTTTCTGATCCTAGAGTAGTTCCCTGACATGAACGCCATCTGCAGTATGACTTTACAGTGTATACTCAGGGCACCACCGACGTAGCCGCCTACGCGCTCTCACGACGGCCCAGTGGCTAACTATATGTACAGCGCGACCGCTCTTGTCTGCTATGAATAACCGATATTTTTTGAAGTCATGGGATTCCTATGCTTTTGACATCCATTCGTCCGATCCTACTGCCAAATTCTAAAATGGCAAAAGGTTGAGGAATTACTCCCTTGAGGAAGGCCTGCTGTAGTGCAAAGAAAGAAGGGACTCCGTAGGTTGTACCATTCGAATTCGAAGTGCAGTGTCGTTTTGCGCAAAGTGCACTATATTGCTCTTCAGAACACTTGCCGGATGTGGCCGCATCGATAAAGCTCTCACAGTCCTTCTGGTGGCCTGGCACACGTCATGGGGCAGAAGAGTATGCGCTGTCATGCCTACAGCATCAGCAGCTGAAGCTGCGCAATTTTCCTAATTCCAGCCTTTTTCGTCACCTTCTAGCTTCTAAAATGAATCCGAGTAATGTGACTAGGTAGCTAGAAACTTTATCGTTAACCTCTTGCAGGTCAAAACGCAGGATAGCATCTACCGCGTTGTCGAGAAACGCTGTAAAGCGGCCCATTTAACCCGTTGAGCCAGCTCTATCTCAGCTCATAGGCTGCTCAATTATCCATTATCGATGTCAAAAAGTTTAGGGCTTCTTGGTTGTATCACTATGGTATGGGCTGGAATATCGTCAGTGCGTTCTGGCGTGCTCTATAACCTGCCTACACATTGACCTTATCATGACCACTGAGAACCACCCTGAGGCACGTGAACGAACAAAGCTCACCAGCTA